ACTTAAGAAGAAAAATATTTTACATTTCAAAATAAAACACGTCATCCCCTTGGATTCCTCTGACACGTGATCAGTGACACGTGACGACTCATTTTCCAACCACTCAGATAAAACGCCACTTTCACTCCTTTAGACACACCCACAACTGAGCTCCGCCTTCTCATATAATATTCAAATTGGAATGAGTTTTTGAAAGCGCAGCGTGTGCTTCGTGAAGACAGGTGAGCGTCCTCTCTGTCTGTCTCTGTCAGGACGAGTATCCAGAGGTGTTGAAGTGGAGGAGGAAACCGTCGCTTCCCGCCGTCTCCTCGTCCCTCCCAGACCTGCTGGGAAACTCCTCCCCCAGCCTTGCCGCCGACACGCCCTTCAGCACGCACACGCTCACGCTGACCGGTAGGTAGGCCCGCCCCAGCTCTCAACCAGGAGCGTTGCAGACAGTGACATGTATTGTCCTCTGGGTTTTGTAGACAGCAGCCTGGAGACCGAGAAGATCCTGCTGACAGAACCGGTTCCTGAACTGGGTCACGTGGAGTACCAGCTGCTCAAACTCTTCATCCTGCTGTGAGTCCCTGAACGCACCACAACATATATGATCTGTAAAGACTCAAACTTTCTCTGTGAATGTCGATGAAAGTGATTTAGTTAGAGTCAGTTGTTAGAGTCAGTTGTTGGAGGCGTGTCAGTGTTAACATGAGCGTCAGTGTTGGTTGTGTTACACGAGTCGCTCCAGTTTACTATTTGTTGTGTTGTTGGTCAGTGCTGCCTCCTGCAGGCTGGTGTTCAGGTTGCAGCAGGTCCACAGCCACTAAACTCAATTCTGTAAGTTGTGTTTATCCAGGTTTGGATGTTTGTGCCTCAGTGAAGGAGTGAGTTCTCAAAACTACGTTTCATTTTTATACAGGTGCAAATATTCAGATTCTTTACTTCAGAATGTGTACTAATACAACTGCAAGTAAAAGTACATCAGTATCATTAGTAGAAGGTTCCTAAGTCATCAAAGTTTTTTGTTGTTGTAGCTGAACAGAAACAAAAACAAGTAAAATAAGTTTTTAATTTGATCTGATTGTTAAATAATGATGAGATAGAAGATAAATAAGACAAAGAAACTTTCTCTTGATTTGACGTCTTTTTCTCCAAATATTCCTGTAACGTGACTTTCTCTGAAATTCAGTTACAACTCACTCTGGTGATATTATGATATTGACTGACTGTGTGTTGTTGTTGTGTTGAATGTGTGTCTCAGTGTCTTCCTGCTGGTCCTCTCCTCCTGTTATCTGGCCTTCAGAGTCTGTCGTCTGGAGCAGCAGCTCAGTTTCCTGAGCAGCCAGCCGACGCCGAGAGAAAGGTACGCACACGTCAGCAAATTCAACCTGTCACACTTCTACTTCCGTCACTTTATCATTGAGAATATTACTTCCATTTTTTACTACGTCGTAGTATTGGAGGGCTGGGTAAGAACCTGCAGCTGCTACAGGACGGCTCCGTTTACTGTGACGTGTTTAATGAGGTCACGACACAAAACAGAAGAAAAAGTCTGGAAACTTCTGAGCGCCACAGGTTTTAGTTAATCAGTAGTTTGAGTGTGATCCTGCTGAGTGGAAACAAACTTCTGAAGCAAACTCTTATAATTAAATCTACAATTGAATCAACAGTGTAAAGTGTAAAAATAAATATGGAACTGACACGAGGAACTAAAACACATCTGTTCACCAGCAGATTAAGAATCTGAATTAGAATAAAAACGTCGGTTCCAGGAGCTGCAGCTGGAGAACATCTGTCTGCTCCTGTCGTGTTTCAAGGTCACGTGACATGACGGCGTTCCGTCAGCGCTGAGCAGAGACACATACAGTCAAACTATCACACGCTCAGGTGGACGAACAGGCCGCACTGATTGGCTGCAGGTCCTCAGGTGCACCGACCAATCACACGAGGTGGGAGGATCCACAGCTGAGGTCCGTACAGGAAATAAACATTGAATCACTTATAGTGACACGTGATTTACTCCACGCTGCTGTTTTAATATTTGGTACTTCTGTAATATTTGTACGACGCGTAAACTCCAAACTAAACTCATCATTAACACAAACAGGTTCAGTTCAACACGAAACATTTTAGTCAAACATGACGTTAGCTCTGAATCCGTTATTGAAATCGATCGATGTTTCCTCTCGACTCGTCGCTCATGAGATTAACAAACCGGTTCGTTGTTTCCAGGTGCGGAGAGGTGCCCTGTTGGCTGGCCAATCAGAGGACAGGGACCTGACACCGCAGCCAATCAGAATGAAGAAGTAAAATCTGCACTTACATAGACTTGTCATTAGGGGGTGACGGTGAGAGGAGACAGACGAGCGGAGCGGCCGTCAGCAGCTGACCTGTGACCCCGCCGTGACCTGGTTACCATAGAGACGTCACAGTAGTCAAACAGTAGTCTGACCTCTGACCTTTGACCTCTGAGGCTGAAGAAACAACCAGAGACTGAACACAGCGTCCGACTCTCACCGATGAAGAATCCGTTCCAGTGACGGAGCTGAAGCGTTTCGCTTCCGTGTTTTCCATCGTGCTCCTGAACGTCACACAGCGAAGCTCTGTGATTGGACGGTTCAAACTGTGTCGCTGTGTTTCTGAAGCTGTGAATGAATCCAGTTTTTAATAAACTCACTGATCTGAAGTACAAATACTACAACTACTACAACTACTACAAGTACTACAAGTACTATAAATACTACAACTACTACAACCACTACAAGTACCACAAGTACTACATGTAATACATGTACTAAAAGTACTATAAATACTACAACTACTACAAGTACTATAA